TTTGCAAAGCCTTTTTAAAGGATGATAATGGAATAGTGCACTTGCCTGCGCTAACGGTTTACGCTGGTGACACCAGTGGAGGATGATAGGATATGCATGAGGTCAGGTCAGGTCTACCCTATAAACCTTAATGGTTAATTCCTCGTGAATTTGAAATGATGGGCTAATTGACGTGACTTCTTGCTCATTCTACAATCCTCCACTGGTGACCAGCATATACCTTTAGCGCTAGTGGATGCGTCATATCATCATCCACTAAAAATTGGTACACTAATAGAAAGTATTTAATGATTCGTTTTCATTACATAGTATAAAATAAAGTCGCGGTCGCTATCTGTCCGTCCCTATATATGCTTAAATCTTTAAAACTACGCAACGGATTTTAAAGAGGTTGTTTTAATAGATAGAGTGATTCTAGAGGAATGTTTACATATTAATACATGTACATATACCGTGCGAACCCTAGCGAGTAGCTAGTATAGCATAATAGTCAAATTACACTAGTACAAGGATGGCAGAGTCTTAGATTTGATTATAATATAATTCCATTGTCTTATGCTCTTTAACCGGAACTCATCTTTGCAAAGCTTCTTGGTTACAGTAATACGTTGGACGTAGGTTCTCACGCAGATGACTTTGTACAAAGTCAACTTCGGCAGACGTCTGTTTGGGTTTACACGGAAGTCATTAAAAGATAACATTATCATTACCAAAGGAAATGCCCAGTTTCCCGTCTCAAATAATTTCTATTTATACGAAATTATGTTGAATTACTTCGTTACTAAAATTGTAAGCTTTGTTATTTTGATATTAATGTTTCTTGAAACTGAGTGTATAGTTGTTTGCAATCGGTTTAAGTTATTAATATTATTAAATGATACCACACGTTTATCTTGTTTTACATGATATACTTGACACGCGTAATACGAGAAAATATGTATATTTTTATATCAGTGGCAATGACACGGCCATAGATTATAATATACATATATATAGAAGGGGATTGTAAGTAATGTGGACTGTTACCACATTGTTAGCAATGTACCATGTCAGGTAAGGTCTACCTGGAAACAATCGTCACAAATTCCTGGTGAATTTGTCACGATGGCATAACTGACCTGACCTCATCTTCATCTTATCATCTAGTACCATCACTAGTACCCTGCCAGCGTAAGGCGTGAGCGCAGGCGGGAGTACCATTCCATTATAATCCATTTAAAAACACACACGCATCTTCACAAAAAAAAAAATATATATATATAATTATATTTATTGTTGTAAAGATACAGTCTTCACTTTAGGATGGTCCCGGAATGTGTAATCTATCTTATACATCATCGTATATATCTCAGTACAAAGGAATGAGAGCACAATTTTCGAACAATTACCACACTCTCCGATTCTAACATATTCATAGGCAGTCAGTCATTTCTTCATTGACATGCATAACTCTCTCGTACGTTTGTCGACATTATTCATAATGTGCGCCTGATCACACCTCCGGTACATACCAACTGACAGGACCGCAGGGATGCCAACCTTACCAGGATCGGACAAATACAATTTTTTATTTTGTGTACGGATATTTTCCTCCTTGTACAAGTTTGTACTAGATTTTAATCTACGGAAATAAACTAGAATTTGTAATGGTGGTCCCACCCTACCACACTAAGACCGGAGCGGTCGTGCCTTCCCAAGGATTGGAGAGGAAATAGTGGGTTCTGCATAGGGAACCCGTAGAGATGGGGCCCATAGAGTGGGTCACCGCCATCGGAGCTTTGTGGAGTATGATTTGGATTCCGCGATTCCGGCATATAGCGTTGGATGAGTTACTTTTTAGTGAGTAGGAGTCTCACAGTACCCGTTTGCCTCCCTCGGGACGGGCGGTCAGCATGGGGGATTTTCTCTAAGCTAATAGTAAGCTAAGAAATAGTAAGGGTAGCGTTGTATTGTTTGTAATTCTTATAGTCCAATTAATCATTTGACTATTGTTTATATAAAACAATCAGAACATTTACAAGTATGATTTTTATGATATTACACCTAATTTAGGTACAAATTTTCATTTTATTTAATTTCAAATTTGAATGTAACTTTTGTGATGGTGAGTCATTAAAAATGATTGGTTATATTGAGATGAAAATATGATTTCTGGTGTCTAAAGGGTCACCAAAGGACTAAGTGGCTAATAATAATAATAGGAGTGGACCGATTGATTGCAAAATGTTACAATATATAATAAACCTCGTACAAGTTAGAGAGCCAATTTACAAGATTTTTGATTTCTTTTTACGAGGCCGTTTGCCAAAAGAGACTGTCAATTGATCATATATATTTTATACTAACGGTGCCCGCGGTTTCATCCGCGTTAAATTTCAATATAAAATATAGCCTATGTGTTATTCTGATGCATAAGCTATATTACTGTAAAGTTTCATTAAAATCTGTTCAGTAGTTTTTGCGTGATAGAGTAACAAACATCCACACTCACAAATTTTCGCGTTTATAATATTATATTAACATATGTAATAGGATATTATTTAATTTTTGATTTCTTCATACGAGAGTTAACAGTTTTAGGGTTGGCAACCTTGATGCACCGTCCGCTCACCGAGTTGGTTCTTGCATCCTGTTGCACCTTTACGTTTATTTTGGTTAATCGGTTCCAATATGGTTATGGGCGGTCGTAAATTATTCAAAGATTATGTGCTAATATTGTTTAAAATGCTATTGATTATGAGTGTTACTTGCAAATTAGTACTTCCACGTTTTCGCCATTATATGCCATTTGTATTCCATAACGTCGGCAGTTCTGCAAATTTTGTCAAATACTGTTATGAATTCAAATTAGATTTTATAGGTTATTTGAAATAGAAGAGGTGACGTCATTGTAATTATTCTGCCAAATTCAAATCAGATTTATAGGTTATATGAAATAGAAGGTGACGTAATTATAAATTGAATATGGCTGATTATATATCTTATTTTTGTAACTTACCGTGTAAATTATCTTCTTCTCTTCTTCTTTGTTCAACCCATGTTCCCAGTTTATCTGGGGTCGGATTTCCCTATTCATTTGCGTCAGAGAACTTTAGCTCTGGGTTTTCTGGGCAGTCAGGTACTACTTAGCCCCCCCCTCACTTCCTAGTAATCTTAGTCTTTAAAGTACAGTACTTATTATACACATATACGCTATCTTATATAGATAGCACTAAAATAATTCCACTGTCGTATATTCAATACAAAGTTACGGTTTGGCCGATCGCCAAAAGAGGCTGTTGACATGCACTTGGTGGCGCTTGACCTAAATGATGGAGATACATAGCCACTATACGCCACACTATAACCGTGAAAGCTGTCATGATGAAGACGATTCTTGCAAATATTATAAAACTCGGATTAGAATTCTCATTCAAATGAAACTTTCTTAACTTTTACAAATATTTTTTTTTGGGGGTTTGGGCTATTGTCAGTTGTTTGGATCTGTAGCATTGCGACCTACATAGATTTATTGTGCTCGCCCTTTTTACAAACATAGTCAAGTCAAATCGTAAATGACACCACTGTGTGTCCCTAACTGCGACCTTGGCAAAATCACCAACCTTTGGTGGAAGCTGTACAAATTAAAAAAAAGAAAAAGAAGAAATTTAAAAAAAAAAAGTATTTTTTTTTCAAATAGAATAAAAATCTCTTTATACCTCTAGTTCTATTGCAGACTCTTATGATAAGTCAAAGCTACTATCAGTTCTGATTGATTTCGATCTCTAAAATTATATTATAGATAATAATTATTGATGTATACATAATAAGCATCGAAAACTAGCTAATATAAATAATTATACTCATGAATTTTGTTTGACCATCGGAGTAAGGCGGTATACTAAACCGCTAGGTTACCGGACTGCTATGATATGTAGCTGTTATTTATATTCCGTTCAATAATAATCAAGCAGACGAAGACGAGGCAGAAGCTAGTAATAGAAATTTGAAAATAAGTTCTTACAAACTCAATTAACTGCGACTATCACATTATTGCATTTATTATATTGACAATTTCTTTTTCAAGTAATTCTAATGTAATAGTATGTATATATAATAGCTACATCACCTAGCTCGATACCCCAGTCTAATATTATAAATCTTTTTCAACTAATTCCAATGCAATATAATCGGTACATCATCTAGCTCAATAACTCTTTCTAATATTATAAAAGCTAAATGTCTCTACGTCTGATAAGTTTTCATAACCCAACGGCTGAGCGGAGCCTAATAAAATTGATATGACGATAGATTGTATCACGAGGATTCGTATAGGTTACCTTTATCTAAGATATAATCCAAAAAGGGGTAAAATAGGGGATGAAATAATAGTAGCAGAGATAGTCACAGACAAGAACTAATGTCCAATAACTAACAGTATGGTGAAATCAGTAGCTGAATCCACAATACATTACTGGTCTGATGATCATAAACGTGTTTCGTATTCAGTTACCGGCTAGTGCTGTATTTCTAAGTATTGTTTTTAAATCATCATGATACGCATCATTGCGGCAATGACGATTTCAACATTGGAAATGTTTGCCTAGCAATACGTAGTACAGTTGTTTTACTGTATTACCAACAAATTGCTGTTATCTTTGTGAAAGTACAAAAACGGAATTAATTACTGACTTTTCTTTAAAGTAGTTATTTTGTAAGTTTGAGTTTATAACTGACAGGTTTACAGTTGTGATGTGGTTAGTTGAAATTTTCAAAAATCCTTTAATAGAACTTTTTTTATGCTACGAATTTAAGCTTTCTAAACTTAGTTGTATCATGTAAAAATAGCTTGTATCTGTCCTTATATTTTAATTAATGTTTATATCAAATTTCATTAAGATTTGTTCAGCAGCCATTAACATGTAATAAATAAGCAAACACACTTTCCATTTTAGAATATTAAGTATAGATAAATTATTTTTTATATCTGTTGTTTTATATATTTTTTCCTTCTTTTTCAGATTGAACCCGACACAAAGTCTAACGGAACACCTCAACATTAGCATTTTAAGTTCAACCTGACAAAAGTTATCTGTGATCTCATTTTAGTTAGTAAAAACAATCGCCTAAATTAGTTAGTAAGCGGGAAGAACACTCGAAACTCTATAATAACAAATGTTAGTTAAGAGTGTCCGGCTCGAAGGACCAAATAGTTGAGAAAACAAAATGGCTGCGTAGTGTTGTGATGGATGACAGATAGTGGGATTTTAGTTGGAGGATGGGATAATGGGCGTTAGGGTGTTGGGATCTTGAAGATGCCGCATGCGCACTCGAGTTCAGCTGCGAGCTCGGGCGGTGATGACCTGGGCTCCACTGATGAGGTCAAGGTATTTAAGGACGAAGGTGACGGGGAAGACGAGAAGAGGAGCTCCGAGAATCTCCTGGAGGAGAAGTCTAGTCTTATCGATTGGACTGAGAGTGAGGTAAGTTAAACTTTATGTTGTTTATTTTATCAAACGTTATCAATTTTGTAACTAACAATTTGCCGTAGAATAATTTTTGAAATCGAAATGGGATTAAATCGAAAGTGCGTTAAGTAAACATCGTTTACTTATTGGTATTTGTTGATGGCATTCCAATAGTTTAGTTGCAAATATGAAATATTTATTTACTATTCTGTTGTAGTATTAAAATTATCGTTTGATACGCCATCGATTTGATGTCATTCGGAGGTCGTCCATTCTATGTTATAAATCTTTTAAAAATAGGCTATAAGGAAGAGCTTGTCGATGAAACACTTTTTTATATGCCTTTTTTTATCTTTACACATTCTGAATCCATTTCGATCATTTTTTAAGGTGATAATTACCTGAAACTATTTATGTTATATACCAATTCTGCATTTTAAAACAATAATTGATTTATTTAAATCATTGGTTTTTTTTAAAAGAAGATTAAAAAAATTAAGCAATAAAGCCACGGCAGCTATTGTGTTAAATATTGAAATATTGATAAAAAAAAGTTGTATTAAATATAATATTTTATTAAATCTCTTATATAGTCCCGTCTTAAAATATTACTATCTTCTATGATCTGTAGTAATAACATTCACTATCAAATTATTTGATTATATCATGTAAATTTTAATACAGTCATGTTTGTCATTGTTATGCAACTTCGCAAATTTCTACTTTATCCCTCGAATATGTCTTCATACACTCCGCCGGTCAAGTCAAGCCCACTGAGTATAGGTGGTCGTACAAATAAAATTATTTGCTTCCTTTGTAAGCATTATTATGTAAGCAACATTCCATAGACAAGTGTAAACGCTGCCAACTTACAAATAGTTGCACGCGGCGCTCCGATTTATAGAGGTGTAGCCGACCATAGAGCAGCAGGTGTCACCATCAGGTAGATCTCTATTGAAAATTTTCTCAGTATTGTGCCACCATTGCCTTTGAATCGGATCATTTACAATAATCTGAGTAGCAACACTAATCAAATCAATCGAATATAAACTCTCGAATAAGGTAAATAGGTTGAATTCCTGTTTCATTTTTATTTACAGGATGAATTCTTTTCTTACTGTTACACATTTATGTGATTTAGCACCTTCAGTTGTACAGAAATAGCTTGTTTAAACATATGTTTACGTATTATGTTAATATCCGATCCCACCTTTCTGTATTATAATTATAACATTAAATGTGATAAGCGTATAATAAAAGGGTCTAAATTAGTCGAGGGATGTAAATATTTTTCACTATCCTAAATGCATTTTAATATTCATAAGCAAAGCAAACGTCCACATTATGTGAGATTCGACAGGAAGATAACAGTCGTTTAGGAGTTAACCGCTCAATTGTATGAGTTAACATAGATAAAATCAAATATAGACTAGCCAGTAATCGCAAATTGTCCGTGAAACAAACAAAAACAACCACAGAAACCGAAACTAAACGTCAACGAAAACAGAAAAAAGATACAGCAAAAAAAAATTGAAATCTTTTAGAGGCATATTTCCGAAAATTTGTATAAAATATTGTATTCCATTCGACATAAATTACTTAGTCATTGTATTATTTCCGAAAACTCTATTATTCGCTAGGGGTGCGGAGCACAATGCTCAGCTACCTGCGGGCAGGTATTTCTAATAAACAAACTCCCACATCTTTTGTAGACGAATTTACCTGTGTCGAGAGGCGAGGGAGTGCAAACATAAATGGACACACACGGAAATTCGGAAACATAAGGTATTTCTATCTTCCTTAGTTGCATATAACATTTGACAATCGTGATAAGGACAGCAGAACAATATGTTTAAGATTCCGAAAGCATAGAGTCACGGTTCGTATAAATATTGGATTATGCTTAGGCGCAATTTTGCTGCGTATGTCATAATAGCATCGATTATCATACGTGATGCCATTACAATGAACGTTGTACGAACAATTTTATGTTTCGATTTCTTTTCGATTATATACGATTGTGAATTGGATTGAATTCGTGTTGAAACTTTTACGCCTGCACGGTTTTTGGATAATGTTTTCGTTCAACAACGTTGATTTTATTATCCTGTTTGTTCAGAAAAGGCTTCCACTCAGGAGTTTTTATTATGTTGATGGCTCTTTTAAAAAGAACAATAAAACTGAAACTTTAATGAATAAACCACGTTGTATTACCAGCCTAGTTTACATTCAGAACATTTAATAAAACAATAAAGAAATTCTAAATAATTTCAGCTGGATACGGAAGTGAGTACTGGTCAATATTTTATATACCGTAATACAAGATTCCATTCTCTATGATCTAGAAAAAGTAAACGACTGAGCCATTTCCGTTGTGGTCGGAGCCTGTAAATCTAGTTATGCACGACTATATCCGTGGATATCCCATATGATTTCCTCATTCGGTCTGGAGGGGGTACTATGTAGTTCTATGCAATTTACTTTCCACGACTTTTTTATGGTTACTGCGAAGAACTTGATAAATGTATTCGATTCAATAACATTGAAATATATTTCTAACGTCTTGACTAAACATTTTGGGACTTACAAGCTTTAAGATGTGTTAATTTTTTTTTGTGTTTATTTAATATTAAATATGAGTATTCAAGAGAACTTAATATTAAATTTATTTGAATAAAGGTTCATTATTATTATCAATTTCATAAGTTACTAGATGTGTCAGCGGTCTCGACCGCGTTAAAATTCAATAAAAATTATAGGCTAAATGTTCTTCTTATTGTAAAGTTTCGTCAAAATCCGTTCTGTAGTTTTTGCGTGAAAGAGAAACAAACACAAACTTTTGTATTTATAATATTATTAAGATTTCTTATAAAGCCTTTTACATCTAGCGTTAAAATTATACCCTTAGTAGTATACGTATCGTTATTGGATGCAAGTAGTCATATCCTCTGTCATCACCATCGGCGTAAACTTCTGTACAGCGCTCGATTTCTCGCTAAAGCGATCAAGCAGCTGTTATTACTAAAGCAATACGAACTCGGTCCCGTAAGTTGGTGGCTATATTTAGCCAACAACACGCTCTTGTCTGCCACGTCCGTTTCCGTCCGCCATCACTCTAGTTGGTTTCTTAGTACTGTAATGTGAGATGATCAATTGACTAGAGAAAAAGTTGTATTAGCGCGTACAAGATAACTTTTACCATTGGTAAAGTATATACTTTTACCATCGGGTAATGTGTTATCAAGATTATGGTACTATGCAGAAATTAATCTGTTGTCAAATATATTTTTCTTTATGCTTGAAGAGTGATCCCTAAAGTCAAGTTTTGTTCCGAGTCGCATTTTAGCTAGCTGTTTTAGATTTCCATGAACCAGACCACTCCATCAAGGCCTGTCTGCTCTTGTATATGGTACAGACACGCGGCTCTCAACATAATTGGGAATAATTTAATCAGTCGGACGTTATTCCCAACGACACAGATGTTGCGAAATTAAAATTTATAACACTATAAAGTGTTGGACTTTAATAGCTTCTTAACTCCACAAATCCTTATATTAATTCAGCCTTGTGAGTATATTTAGATAATTACTATTTATTAATGCGTACGATGTCGCCATTTAAATATCTAATGCTTTGACCTCTGTGGGACTCGAGTTTAGTCTAATAAGAAATTTAACAGTAATATCTGCTTCGACTGAAGTTCAAGTTCAGTAAATGTCTCAAGCAGTTAACTACAAAGAATGCTCAATGTAATAATTATAATCCTGACAAATTCACATAGCTAAGCAGACACACCCAAACTAAGCAGAGCTTGTGTTATGGGTACTAGACAACTGATGGAATTTTTTTAATGATTTTAAATACATTAATAATATACATGGAAAACATCCAGCCCAATGCAAATAATTACACTCATGTATACAAATGTTTGCATTGTGTGAAAAATCTAACCCACGATCATCGGAACTAAAGCGATACGCTAAACCGAGGTTGTCAAAAGTGAAATGTGTAATGTAAACATGTGATCTGGTTACTCAAATAAGGAATTTAAAAAGTTCTGATTTCGCGGTTGTTAAATTATTTATTATGGTTTGAAATATAAAATAGTTGTGCAACAGTAGGTACCTACTTGAGATTATTGCAATCATCGCAGAACATGAAACCAGGGAGTTTTAGCAGGAAGTTTAAGCAGGGACCGCACATATTTCTTGGTACTGTAATGTGAGATGAATAATCGACTAGAGAAAAGTTGTGTTTTATTTATCTTCCATTTATTTCTTTGAAACATGTGCTGTCAGAATTACATTGTACTAGAATTATCATGTTGTATATATAGGCAATGGATATGGTTTACCATCAGGCTATCTGTTTGCATTACCAATTACATTAAAAATATTATAAAGTTGATAAATACAGAGCTAAGCAGGCGATGGTTACCCCTTACCATCAGGCGGGACGGGAGCTTTTTGCCATTATAATTATTTTAATAGAGATTATAAGTTGTTAAATACAAAAACCAATTAAAGTCTTTATCTGATTTCGTTTTAGAATTGTTAACCCAAAACCTATTTGGAGTGTCAAAATAATTGGTATAGTTTACCCTCTGCAGTTGATAATATACGCAATGTTATAACTATGGTATGTGGCTTCAATTTCTAATGAGTTTTCCATTGTTCCAGTATGCTATATTGTATAGTTTAATAATTGTCTTTTATTATTTAATTAACTACCGCATTTGTGATTTACCGATCATCCTAAAGGTTAACTGGTAGAGAATGCGCCCAGCATTAAGTTCGCGTTTTGTACCATTTTTCATAAAGTTATTCAAATAAAAAGATAAAATATTATACAAATTTTCCTATATATTCAGCTACTATGAGATCAATTTACAATTCAATACCAGTGCCCTCGGACCCGCCCTTTTAGTTCTCTGTTATTAATTTCACAGCCCATATCGAGACGTGAGTGGGCGCATACATACATACTTCCTAATTACGATCTACAGATAGGCAGTG